TTCTCAGCCTCTGCACTCTGCTGATTCCTGTCTGCTTACAGGAATCTTGTGTGTCCCTGAGAACAGGTCAGGTTTAATTATTAATCATCTGGCCAGTGTAATCAATCCAGACCAAGGTCTCGCCTCCTCTGCTCTTTCTTCCACTTACTGGCCGCAAGCTCAGCCCCTACCCTGCCAGTGCCTTCTGCATGCTGGAGGTGGGGGGTGCCAGGAGCCTCACACCTGCAGGAGGCATCAATGTGGGGTGGCCACCAGGCACACAGGTGTGGCTTACAGGGTGCAGGGTGAACTGAGGCCATCCACCCAGTGTTGACACAACTGTCATAAACCTTGCCTTGTTCCCAGTGCTACCTGGGAAGGTTCTGAAGAACTGGGTGGGCTGGGTAGGTGAAGATGCAGTGTGAGGACAGACAGGTTTAGGGCGGGGATACCTGGGAGGCATGGGTAGATGGGCAAGGCAGGCAGGGATCCATAACCAACTGTCAGAGTCAACTTGCAGCCCCACTTAGGGGAAAATAGGGAGGGAAGGACAGGTAGGGGATAGGGAGCAGGTGGTGGGACTGGTCTCAGGACTCACCCAATTCTTGCAGCCAGCGCACTGATCCTCATAGTGCCTAGTGACTGGGCAGAGGCTGGGCTTAGGCCAGCCCCAGGAATGGGCAGTAATGCCCATCAATGCTGACTCTCTGGTGGACACTAAGAAGCAGGACCCACTCCCTGCCCCTGTGGTAGAGTTCACAAGGCCACATGATGGGGGGGGCCTCTGGGCATGTGTGCACCTGAGGTCAGGGTACCAAGTGTTCTGGGGTACCACAAGATAGGGCTATCACGTGGAGCAGGAACACTTGGGGAGACAAGCTGGGCCTTATAAACAAGCTGGGCCTTATAAAGGAGTAACCATTAAGGAGAACATTAAAGAAAGTCATAGTTTCCAAGCAGTGAGAAAGGAGGACACTCCAGGTAGGGGAAAAATCACATCCAAAAACAAGGAGGGGAAAGGTTTGTTCAGAAGCCAAGAAAACTTGAGCATGTGGGTGGAGGGGCGGGGGCAGAAGTGGGGGTGGGGTGGTGAGTAGGGCAGGCTGGGAGTCAAGCTGAGGCATATGAGGAATACCCGTGGCCAAGATGGTAGAGACCAGTTTGCTGGGCCCAGTTTGGCCCACATAGGCTGAGGCGCTGTTGCTGCATCCGAACACATCTGGCATGTGTTGCTCCTCATGGCAGCTCCCTGATGGGGTGGGGGCTGATAACAGGGACCAAGGGAAGGAAGGGAAGGGAACACTCCATCCCCACCTGAAATGAACAGTTTCTCCCACCCTAGACAAGCACAGCCACAAACTTAGGCCATTGTACTTACTGTCAGGTGGGCTAAACAGTGTGGAACCTTTGGATGCCAAGAGATGTCATCTTGACACCAGGAGCCACGTCACACAGATGAGAAGCCATCCTTCTAGCCCACCCAGAGGGATGTCCTCTCTGTTCTTCTCCATATGGGACTGTCATCTATTGAAGGATTTTTTCAGTGCGTCTGCCCCGCACCACAGGAAAGCACTTCGAGGATGTACAGTCAGGTAGAACGATCTCCCCTGGAAGAGCTGGAACGCTGTGTCTGTGCTAAGAAGCAAGCGCTGTGACAGACCTGCTTCCTCATTTTGCCTTGGTGCCCAGTCACACCTCGCGCTCACTTCCTATGGCTCTGTCAGGTTCGCATAGTACACACGTGGTGCCTCCGATCTCCTTGAAGCCTTAAAATTTTTGTTTAGCTGAGTCTGGACACATCTGGTATGTGTTGCATTTCATTTTGACTTCTTGTTGAAAAGAAGTGATGGGTGAACAATCAGTTTTTACGTAGAAAGGTAGAGCCAAATAAGCACAACAAGGCTGGCATTCTGGGGCCATGGGAATCCCCTTTGGGTCACATGCTTCACCCCCAAGTCCCTGAAAGCAGACAGTAGAACAGCTTCCTTTCCTCCCCTACGTGAGGCAGGAGGAGGTTGAGTAGGCTCAGGGACCCTTCTCCTCTTTCCTACAGGCCTAGTTCTCTAGGCAAATATCTCCTTTGGCCTTCCTTTCTGTTTCCCTCTATGGGTGGGGGCCTCTCTTGACCTACTTTCTAGGGAGGGAAGGTATTTAAGATTCATTTCTAGAATTTAATATCTAGGATGCCTATTGCAAACACTTCAAATTCAGTTAAATTAGGATGGAGAGAAGTAGTTAAGACCAAGGTTGCACTGTGGACCTGATTCGAAATTTAATTTGCTGTCTATTGCCTGTCTGACCTTTGCAAGCCACTTTGTCTCTCTGGGCCTTATTTTCTCCATTTATACTGTGAAGAGAACAAAGGACAGTGTCCTTGAAATGTGGCCACATAGGAGGTGACACAAAAATGGGCTTAGTGCCCGCAGGACTAGTACTGGTAACAGCTGAAGTAAGATAGTGAAGTGTAGGGGAACCTCAGGGTCCCTCACCACTTGTGACATGACTGCAGATGCCAGAAGGATCCAGAAGTCTCCACAGAGGAAGGGCTGGCCCTGCACAGCTCCTCTGTCTGCAGGAGTTGGGATCTCACCAGATCTCAAGGAGCCTTCTTAGGGCCCACGGCAGCCTTGATTCTAGCCATTAATACAGACAGAGTCAGCTCTGGAAGGCCAACTTGCCTAAGCCTGGTAAGCAGGAGTCCTGCCTTGGGCCCCAAACCCAGACTCATGACACAGCTCCTGTCCCTCATGTGGCTCTATCAGCCACAGCCAGGCTGGTCCCTTGTTTTCTAGCCCCACTCTCAAGCCTTTTCTACACTAGAGTCGCCTCTACCTTGGCTAGCCCCCATTCATCTCTTCTGCACTGTCCTCCACTCTGTAAAATAAAAGTCCCTTCTATTCTAGGAGCTGCTGGGGAAGTCCCTAGTTGCAACTAGGGTGGCACTGTTTTTGGACTGCGATTGGTGCACTCCACAAGGTCACCCCAGAGACTTGCTAAAATATAATTGCCTGGACTTCCCCATTACCCGACTGTCCATGGGAGAGTCCCAAGAATCTATTTCCAGCAAACTCTCCAGGTGACTGCAAGGCACAGGAAGCATGAGGACCAACAGTTTGTCTTGAGTGTCTTTGTTGAGAGTCTAATTCCAGGTAGGGTTAGACCTGGGACATTCCTGACATAATCTAACTGAAGTAGCCTCAATTCTTGCATGTGGCCCCTGCAGGACTACTCGGGAGATCTGGAACCTCTCAACTTGTGTCGCCATAGCCATGTCCCTTGCTCTCCCTGGTCCTTTTTTACTCTTGCAAAAGGAAGGACCAAGAGGTAGAGGTTTCTAGGGTCTTACATGTTTAGAATTTCACTTGGGACAAAGGTCCTGTAAGGCCACCATGGTGGGAAAAGACAAGGAAGAGCTGTTGGGAGTGAGGCCTCAGCAGTGCCTTGGTGAACAGTCCTTGTTCTTGATGTGCAAGAACAAAGGTCTTGGACCAGACAGGGACCAAGATCAGCACTCAAGTGGCCTGGCCTCAAAGGGCACTGTGAGGCGCAGCTCCAGTGTCCAGGTCACGGCAGAGTCAGCCAGTGACAGTCTGGAGCTGATCCCTAGGGAGAAGAATAGTAGGCAGAGCAAGGGATCTGAGCATCAGGGCTCTAGCCCAGGGGACTGGCTCTGACCCCAGCTGAGAGCCCACAAGGACATCAGTGAGCAGACGGATTTCCTCGGAAACAGGGAAACAACTGCACCTCAGTTGGCATTGTTTCCTTTGAAGAAATAATGGAGAAAGAACTGAAGTCCTGAAATTTGAAGCTTACAGATTGCAAACACAAGATCTGGTGCCCTGCAGCATACCAAATGCATGGACTAACAGTTATTTTAACCCTGGAGATGACTAATATTATTATCATCTTTTACAGCCCAGGAAGTCACAGGGGGGAGTCCCTAGCAAGGCATCCAAACTGCTTGACTGCATGGGGCTTCCACCTCCCAGCATATAACATGTCTGATGTTCTCCAGGGTTGGGCCACATAGAGCAACACCCTGGGACCAGGCACAAGGGCCACCCCTAGGCATCCCACATCCCGAACTTGGGCAGCAGGACAAGCTCTACGCCCATTCCCTGCTTTGGCCATCTGGGGTGCAGAGAGCAGCTACAGACAAGGAAGTTTTTCCAGGCCTCTTGTCAGGGAACTGGAGACCAGAGCTCAGAGCCAGCATGGCCACCACAGGTTGGGGTGGAGGAGGGGTGGCAGGCAGCAACCGGCTCAACAGGAACTTCCTTCAGCTCTATAATCTGCGCCCAGTAATTATAGGTGGCCCCACTCTGCCCTCTGGGTCCAGGCTGCCTAGCCCCTCCCCGCTGATCCAGGAGCATTGCCAACAAGAGGGAAGGGCCTAGGAAAGGCTTGAAGCCATTCAAAGGACTAGCCAACGGGGCCCAGGAGATTGGCATCGTTTTCTTAGAAGAAATGATTGAGAAAGAACTAAAGAAGTCCTGAAATTCGAAGCTTACAGATTGCAAAAACAAGACTTGGAGCTTCGCAGCATACCAAATGTGCTCACCAGCAGTTATTTTAACCCTGGAGGTGACTAGAATCATTATCCTCTTTTCCACCCCAGGAAGTGGGTCCTAGCAAGTCACAGGGCTGGCTGGCAGTGGCAGGGCCAGCCACCTCTTGGGCCTGCTGTGTCCACTACCGCACCACCTACTAGACCTCCATTGTCACAAGGAATGGAGCCACTAGACATGGCCTGCCCTGGTTCAGGCCAGAAGAGTGGTGTGTACTCACTAGAAGACTGGAGAGCTAAGCTAGGGATTTGAAAGAGGCAGTGAGGTTTGTCCACCTGACCCTCCAGAGGAGACACGGCCCCTCATTCCGTCTCCTCTCAGATCCCTACCCCCAATAATCCGCTTTGCTTTAGTTTCCTAACCAGAGCTCTCCGGTGAAACTGTTTTGTGCTCTCTACTCAATCCTTTAAAACATGTAAGAGTCAATCTATGACACCTGGCCACTCACACTCGCAAGCTTTCAGTCTCTTTATTAAAAATCTTTTCTTCTTTTGTAAAAACAAACACTTTGCAGTCAGTTATACAGATCAGGAAAAGCATAACAATTCATAAGACACTCAACAAATTCCAGAGATTTACAAGTTCAAACTTCAATTAACTAGTTTTCTTTTTCCTTTTATTATCTCCTAAACTTGCAGAACAAACTGGTCCAGTTCAAGTATAATCTAATAGGTCATCACCTTGGATTATAAGGGTGGGAAACCCTAATTCTAATGGCCGCTGCTCACACCAACAGCAAGTTCATCAAATTCTTCAAGAGAATTAGATAATACACTTATCCCAGGTGTTAGCAATGAAACTTACACAGGCCTGTTGGATCAACCCAGGATGCAACTGAATCAGTTGCTCAAGGTAGCAACCGCTTTCAAGCAACTTTGGGGGAGACACTTTGAAAAGTGTGACCAAAAACACTGAAGAAGAAGCTTTAAAAAAAAAAAAACCAAAAAACCCAGAAATCAGTATTTTCTTGGTTGCGTTTAATACTGCATTGTGTGACACACACAGGAACAAAAAGTGCAAGGTATAGGGTCGGTGAAGGGCCAAGCCAATGGAATTGTATAAAAATAAATAAAAATAAATATACACATATGTATATAGACACACATGAATAGACTCTCTGATGGTTTTAAACTGAAGGCTGTGGCTGAACACAGAGACAGCCTCTTCTCTCCCTGCTTGGGGCTCTCTGGCCTTTTAGCATGAAGGTCAATTTACCAACCAGGGAGCCATTCATATATAGTTTGGGAAGTCGGCCTTCCAGGTTCCTAAGGAAACCCTGCTGAGATCACTTCCCCTCTGCTGGGGGCTAGAGCTTCCAGCCTCTCTGATAGCATGCAGTTCCAGTCTCTGAGGGAGGCGGTAGGCTTTTCCCAGGCAGATTCATAGCTCCCCTCCTTGGGAATAAAGCCACACAGGGTGAAAGGTTGCTGAGAAGTGGAGGAGGTGTAGCTGGCATACAGAATGCTGGTGGAGTTGGCCAGGTAGCAGGCTGGGCTGAGCCTCCTCTTTGGTCTTTTCCATTTGACACCAAAATGCCCAAGGCCTAGGACTGGTGGCAGGAAGCTGACAGGAGGCGGGTGCTGCCTGCTTTCCTAACCTCTCCTCACCGCAGGCATCCAGGCTGGTCTGTCCTCCTCTGCTGTTGCCTCAACTGCTCTCTCCTGGCCTCCCAGCTGTTTTCCTGCCAGGGACCACAGGCTTCCAGGTGGACACACGGTCGCTTTAGGGTCTGCATTTGCTTCCTATCTCTGCCTCAGTTTCCTGACTGACAAACGTCAGTGTTGCCCCTCTTACACTAGTGCAGAGGTCAGAATGTACAGAATAAGAAAATGCCAGAACTACCCTACACAACTCCTGCCCCGTCCGCCTGTCCACATTCAGGAATAAAGGCTTCAAGAAGCTCCCAGGGAGGAGCTGCCCATCCACCCCTCCTGTTTTAGTTTTTACCAGCTAAGCCATGGAGGGTGCCCTCCAGAGTCTCCATTCATAGACACGGCAGCAGGCTCTGTCTGACCTTCCTGGAGGTTACTCCCACCTTTGGCAGACCGTCGCTACTAGCACCTTTGTCCCCAGTGCTGGATACCAGACTGAGCAGCCCAAACAGCTGGCATGGGAGGCACTGACCCCATGAGGAATAAGGACTCTGCTTTTCCTGACATTTTCATACCAAAGTCTGCACATGTGGTCAGCCCTGAGAAGCCCTCTGTCCTCTGCCTGGTTGGAAAAAAGCAGCCTGCAAATACCTGACCTCAGATGCCACTTCAGCCCTGCAGCCTGCTACCACCTTAGCCTTTCCCATGCTGAGAGATCAATTTAAAGCCATTCCACTGGGAGGTCTTTGGCCTCTTTCCTCGCCACATGAGCATGGGGATGAGTCAAAAATGCCAGGCCTTGTTGCTGTGTGTCTCCAGCTGGTGACTCTGGCTACAGAGGCCAATGGCCCACCCAAGTCCACACCAACTGCTGTTTTAGCTGCAGGGAGAAGACACTTCTATTCCTGTTTTTACTTAAAATGAATCTATACAAAATTCTTTGTCTAAGGCCTGGGAGATAGCTCAGTGGCATAAGTGCCTGCCTGGCAAGTGCAAGGTCCTGAGTTCAATCTCTGGTATTTAAAAAAAAAAAAAATTCATTTTCTAGAATAAAAACAAATCTTAATGCCTCCTGAAATCAAGAGGAAGGAATTAAGTCTGGAAGGAATTTATCAGCGCTTCCACAATGCAGGGCTCTTTTCTTTCCCCATAAAACTAATTTGATTTTACTTTAAGGCATTTAAATCTGGTAGACTGCTGAACTAAGTGGGAGGATGAGATGTTAAAAATGGGAGATTTCCAAGCCAGGTGTGGTGGTGCATGCCTGTAATCCAGCACTCAGGAAGCTGAGGCAGGAAGATCACCATGAGTTCTAGGCCAGCTTGGGCTACTTTGTGAATGCAAGGCTAGCTCTGACTATAGAATAAGTCTCTATCTCAGAAAAACTAAAACAAAAACCCAGGAGTGTTTCATAATGGTGAGGTCCAGTGCAAGAAGCCACTCTCCACCTCTGCCAATTGGCTCCCTTTGGCAGGCCCTCTTAGGTCTGCAGAGCCCGACTCAGCTCCCTGGCATGGCCCAGATGGGACACATGGATGCCATGCTGAGAGTTGGCTAAAGATTCACTGAAGCAGCTTGTTGGGCCCAAGAGTTTCCATTAAATCTTTTCCTGCATGGCTCAGCCAGAGCTGGCCAGTTATATCCTATCAAGAATTTAAACACTGTGAAATCCCTGAGAAGTAGGATTTTATGAAAAGGAAATGATCCTTGGCACAGAAGGAGGGAGAGAGAAAAAGAGGAGAGGAAGCGAGAAAAGAGCACATTGAACGGTTCTGGGAGAGAAACAAGAGTCCGAAGGGAGAGAATCAGTGGGTGGCCCTCTGCAGGCTGGACACCAGGGTGGCGCAGCCCGGAGTTCCTGGAGCAGCGCTCTCATGAGTCTCAGGAACAAAGGAGCTGCGCTGTGTGGTGCACAACATTGCTGTCATTCCTCCTCCGGGTCACTTCAGCAAGCCGCCTCTTCCAGCTTCTAGCAGCAGCAAGGGCAGCCTCACGTCAGGGCTTTTTCCTTTCAAAGCGTGGCACCATTCCGCTGTCCTCAGGCCTCAGGCTGCCTGTCCCTACCGTCTCCTTGAGTCCCTCCTCAGCCAGCTGGGACAAGTACTTCTGTGGTGGACAGAGAAGGAGATGTCAGTGGAGGCCTGCAGGGGGAGGTGCGGAGGAGGAGAATGTGTCTGGCCCCTGTCCGGAGTCCTGTGCCTGCTGGGTGCAGGGTGAGCCCCCCTTCACCAGGATCCCACTGTCCCATCTTGTCAAAAAGGAGAGAGCACAGCTGCTGACACGGCCCTCAGCTCGTACCCTCAATCCTTAGGATCAGCCCTGGCTTTCCAGAAAGAAACCAGTCCTTTCACAGCCTCTCCTCATTTAAGAGGAAGAAAGGGCCCAGACAGCGGGCAGGGAAGCCACTGCCAGCCTGCTGTGACAGTGCAGACTCCCCAGACCCTGCTTCCTGTCAGGACAGGCTGTGGGGGTGTTGCAGGAGAGCCTGGAGGTCCTGCAAGGGATTGAAAATGGGCCCCTCTGCTCTATATTGGGGGGCAGCTTGCATCACTCACACTCCCTGCGGAGTCTGGGAGACTCCCAGCTGGGCCTGCCCTGAGTGGGTGCAGGGAGAAGGCCTGGACAGGGTGGGCTGCAGCATGCAGGGGTGGGGGTGTCCTCTGACCCAGTCAGGGCAGCAGGCACAGCAGACAGAGCACTGGACAAAGATTCTGAAGGGTTAGGTTCAACACGGGTTAAAATTGTGAACTCTCTCATCAGATAGTCTGGGTTCAAGTCCTAGCTCTCAGTAGCCAAGAGGCTGAATACCCCTGCTCCTGTGCCATGAGGGAACCACCAGCCACCATGGCACAGCACTGCTGTGAAGCTGAGGCAGAAGCATGCTGAGTACAGTGCCTGGCGCAGAGCACACCCTCGGGAGTGTCCTCCCTCATGAGCTCAGCGTGGTCCCCCTGTTCTCCCACCAGACAGCCTCCACCTGTTCTGCCAGATCACACCTGGAGGGGATCCCGTGACCACAACCATCTTGGGGCGCAGCCAGGGTTGCTTGCAGAGTATGGAGACCTGCTCCCTGCCTGGGAGGGCCAGCCCCGACCCCCACCTCAAGGCCCCCCCTGGTGGATGCTAACTTTACAAGTGACCTGACTATGCTGTCAGCCAGCGCCTGCTGCTCAGGTCTGCATTCTTCACTCTTCACGCGTACACTTTGGAGAGGGGTGGCCGAGGCCCTGTGGACAGAGGCATCCTGTCAAGGGCCCTGACAGAAACCCTATCTAGGAGGCCTGGGGTGGAGGCTGAGGCTCCTGGACAGGTGCACCGGGGAAATCTGACCCGAGGCCGGCCGGGGCATGGGGCTCAGCCAATGTCTGCACCTGATGTGTCTGGGGACCACAGGAAGGGCGCTGGCCAGCTCTGCAGAGCCCAGAACACAGTGTGGTCCACTGCTCTGGACAGCCTAAACACTTCTAACTCTGGCTGGTAGTAACCTTGAGCCCAGTGGGATTATATAATCCCACTAAGAACACTGGGTAGCAGTGGGGTCTTGCAGTGAGTCTACAGAGCTTGCTGGAGAGATTAAAAGGTAGACTTGGGGCCCAGCCTAGAAGTACTGAGGTAGCAGGCAGGGAGTTGAACCCGGGAAGCTGCATGTGAAAAAGATGCCAGCTGGGATGAAGACCTGGGGAAATCAGGACCCACACCAGCACTGCCGTGTATAGGTTTCGCCGTGCTGTGGAGGGGATGGAGTCTTTCGGCTCAGTGGCTGTCCTCAGTCTGAACTCCCTGCTCTGGCCAAGTCGCCTCCCCACTGGCCCTGGGGAGGCAGGACCTGTGGCTGCTTTGGTCACACAGCAGCTGCTCGCCAGAAGGAAATCAAGCGGCTTGAATGACCTGGGTCTCATCACAGCCACGCCTGGCCAAGGATAGCCTCTTACAACTGAGGACCTAGGCTGCGACACTATGGCTCTCGGTGTCCAAGACCAGCTTAGTAGAGTAAAAAGGGGAAAGTGACTAAGAACCAGGTGGTCCTGCCTAGGGCTCTAATTTACCATCTGCAGGGCCTTCTGCAAGCCGCGTAGCTTCTTTTTTGTCTGTTTCCTCCATCATAAAACAAGAGAGTCAGCTCATGTCTGAATTTCTTAACTAGGGCCACACATTCTAATCATTGGAGATCTTCCTTAGATTACGTATCCGTGATAGTACCCGGCCTAGTATATGGGCGCTCCAAGTACTGTCCAGGTGATTCCAATTCACTGGCTAAGCACCACTAGATCCACAGCTGTTTAATTCTGGAATGCCTGGCTCAGCATCAGAGCGCAGACAGCACAGAACTTCTTAAGTTGAGCCACCAACCAACCAGTAAGTGGGAGCGGCCTCAATGGGGAAAGAGGCCCCGCCTCTCCTAAACCCAGCCTGTGTCGGAAGTTACTCTCCTAGACTGGGATGTAACACAGCAATGCAGTCTGTGCTTAGAGTGCTCAAGGACCTGGGTTTGATCCCAGTACCACAGAAATCCGAGTCTTACATGTGATAGTAACTTAGATGAAATATGATGTATTTCATATGATATATTTTTATATGTGACTTTTGAATAGAGTATATAATGTATTTATTTGTTGGTTGCTTCGTCTGTTTTTGTTGCCGGCTCCCTGGAGCCCAGCACCCTACCTGGTAATTTGCTTATGATAAGTACATGTGGTCTGGATGAACATTTGAATAAAAACAGTGGTGGATCTTATTCTAGCAAATAGGCTTAGGTGCACGGAGAGACAGACACCAAAATATGAGCAGCTGGAATGTCCGATACTAGAGGAAAGGGGAAAGGGGCCAGCTCCACCGTGGGCCAGGAGATCATCAACCTAACTTGAGCTGCTCACCGCCTAGCTAGGGAGGCAGAGGTTTAAAAGACCAGGCCAAAGGAAGTAGAGTATAATCGGTACTACAGCCGAGTATAAGTACACCTGGGGGCCCACGGGAGCCAGCACCGCATGGAGCAGCCTGCAGGAGTTGCGCACTGTCCACGAGGGGAAGGCACAGAGACACAGAAGCAGATGGGATCGGTGTGCTCGTGAGTGCCCTGCTCGCTCCCCTGGGCCTGGAGCAGGCCTGGAATGTGGGAGCAGGTTCCAGGGCTGGCAAGGCTGAAGACTCTCGGTGCCTGGTGTGAGTGTGGAGACAGCCCCCCCAACAGGCTGCTGACCCAGGAAGGCTGACAGTTACCTGTAAGTTCCTATAGTGGACAGCACTGCGGCAGTGGCTCACCTTCGCCGCCTCCTCGCTGGTGTAGAACAGTCCACACAGCTTGCAATAAAACCCAGTCCTGGGAACCACAAATTCCACACCTACAGAGAGATGGGCGATGAACGGGCAGGTGTTAGGGATGTGGCAGGTGGGGGAAGCCCCTGCGGTCCTGTGCACCATAGGGCAGATGGGGCGGGAGCCCCGGCCTCCCCTTGCTGCCCACAGCACTGTGTCCCTGCTTTTCTGCCCGCCACCTCAGTTTCCTCATTTGTGAAGCATTTGTAGAGGAACAGAGCCTGCTTCATGCTAGGTAGGGGTGATGAGTGCGAGGCTGAGCCCCAGACAGGGCGGGGAGACTCACCATCAAGAGCTCTGTTTCTTTTCTCTGAGAATTACAAACCAGGCTCTTTACCTCACACTGCTCCTGGGGAAAGGGGGAAGGGGGTGCAGGTATTTTTCTTATTTAGATTTTATTTCTCCATGCTGTACCCCTTCTGACAGCTATTGTGATTCTGGAAGAATTGTCTCAGTTTTTTTAGAATTATGTTCACTGCCAGGCATGGTGGTGAATGCCTGTAATCCCAGCACTTGGGAGGCTGAGGCAGTAGGATCTCACTGAGTTCAGGGCCAGCCTACACTATATTGGAAGACCATGTCTCAAAAAAAAAAAAAAAAAAAAAAAAAACCAGCAAAATAAATAAGTAAATTCTATTTAACAGGTATTGTTTATTAGAGAAAAACTTTTTAAATAATTAAAAATGAGGGGAAAAAATTGCCCAAATATTTTCTTCCATATGATTTACCTATATATAGGACCTTTTTGTTGTCACACTGCATGACTAAATGGGACCCTGTATCGTCCCCTTCCACACAGCAATGCATCATGGGCCTTTTCCTCCCTTCTTTGCATCTAGCCCATCAGTTAATAGCAATTCTTTTGTGACTTATTGAATATCCCAGAATTCTGGGAGGCTTCTGATTTCAGGAAACACCGTGGCCCCCGAGTCCCGGCCTCGGGGCTCTGTCATGGGCAGAGGTGTCGTCTCTGGAGCAGTGGTGGCTGTACAGCCTCCATGCAGGAGCTCGCACTTCTCCTATTGAGGACGTGGTCAGCGGATCGGAAAGAGCTCTGGTTGGAGACGGTCTGGGTTGGACGCCAGGGATCTAAGCAACTTCAGGCAGGTCAGCAAAAGTGCTCCTGAGTTCTGCCTCTGAAAACGGGAGTGAGCACACACTGCCTCACACAGGATGTCTGATGACCCCATGCCAGTGACAGGAGCGTAGGAGAGCTGTGAGAAGCAGGACCCCAAAGAGCTAAAGCAGGGGAGCAGAGGCCCAGGCCCCAAGGGCCCCCTGTGTGGAGGCAGAATAGCTGCTCCCTTCTCCTCTGCTGGGGTGGGCAATGCTGGGAGACGTGTTCACACTGCGTAGAAGGGAAACGGGACACGTGACCAACAAGGCCCTAGACGCCTCCTTACCCTAGGCCTCAGCTCCTCTCATTCTTTGCTTTCTTCCTCCTGCCTCCTGTGACTGAGCTACGTGCCCACGAGCCCCTGTCATACAGACGTAGCCCGGCCTTGTAATTAGAACTGGGTTTTTTGGCCGTCTCAAATAAACCTCTTCCTGTGTGAAGGAACAGCCCTGAGGAAGGACAGAGAGGGGTGGGAGTTCAGGGGCCCCGGCCCAAATCCAGCCTTGACTGCTGGTTAATCTGTGGCGTAGGGCCCGAGGTGTCCTTGGCCAAGGTTGTCTCTAACTGCCACGTAGCTGGCTGAGTGCTCAGCATCAGCAGCAGGCCCCAGAGGTGAGAGGGGGTCTTAGCCCAGCCACCCAGAGGTGCTGCAGGTCCATCCTGTTCTGCCCTCACCCTGCTGTCACCACAGAGGACAGGCCAGTCAGGCAAGTGGCTGGCCGGGAACTAGGATCCCCTCCATCTCTCCAACAGCCCCTGGCTGCTGCTGGGAAGGAGCGTCAGGCAAGGTCCGCCTCCTGCGCTGTGGCTGCTGCTCTGCAGGGGATGAGGGCCCTGCCTTCCCACAGAAGGTAGGTACTGGAGAGGAGGGCGCTGCCAGAAGACAGCTGTGAGTGGGCACGGCCTCCGAGCAGGGCTGCACGGGGCCGGGCCTGGGGCTCCCTCTGCGGCTCCAGCTGAGGGTCTTCGCTGTTGTCCTGGAGCCCAGCAAGAGCACAGCTGCCTCCTGAGCTACTGTCTGTGGGCTTCTGGGTGAGATTCAACTTGAGCAAAGCCTTCCTCTGCCTGCCCCCCAATAAAACACAAAGTGGTTGGGGAGAGACTAGAAGCCACGGCATAGTGCAGAGAGAATGGCACTTCGGATCAGGCAGGCCCAGTTCTTTTACTTAAGCTGCGTGGCTTCGGACATGTTACTGAATCACTCTGAGATTTGTTTCTTCTTCTGTAGAACAGGAATCATGACAGCACAGACCATGTGATGGGGAAACACCCATTATTTTGACTGTGGCTCCAAAAGCATTTCAGTTTGGAAACATGTTCTCTTCTGCTGGCTTGTCTGGAAATGGATTAAATAGGTCTCCACAGGAGCCGAGGGGCTAAGCCTTCGTCTTCCTCCTGACGCCCACGCACCCTTTCCTCAAGGTCACCTAGAGAACCTGCTCCAGAGTTTGGCAGCAACTTTCTTCCTGAACCTTCCCCTGCTGCATGAGTCAGAATCAGGAATCAAAGACGACACTAGAGAAAGAGAAGCCAGGGCAGGAGAATCCCCGAAGAGCTGGTACCCCACTCAGAACCACCACAGGGCCCACAGCTTCAGGGGGGCCTCAAGAACATGGGGGCGTGGTGTGGCAGTGCCAGGAGACACTGCCAAAGCCTGGCAATGCTGGAGCCCCAGGCCCTCCTACCTTGGCCTCTATTCAGGATGCTCATTAAAGCTGCATATGCCTTCTAATAATAGCTCCTGGCACAGGTAATTATGACACTGCCATCCTAGGAAGGCCTAGGCTGGAGAGAGAGTGAAGCTTCCCTTTTTTTGCCAGCAATGCTATTTGGTTCTGGTACGAGCAGACCTTGGCAGGCTCAGACTGGCCTGGGTCACACAGAGCTGGCCTGAGTTCCACCAGCAGCGCCCCTCCCCGACCACGGCCTGGGGTGGCCAGGCTTTGGCAGTCCTCACTCCACCTTCCTGCTCTTCCTAAAGTCAAAGCCTGAAAATTGCCTCTCACCTCCGTGGAAATCTCTCTGCCAGGAGTGACCAATCCGGGAGGTACAGGGTTTGCAGCCATAAGAAAAGGATGCAGAGCAGGAGGTCTCAGTATCTCATGAATGAACAGAAGTGATGGACAGCCCTTAGTAAGTACTTTCCACAGGGAGGCATCAAGACCTTTCGTGTATTCATTCATTTAACTGTCACAGTCAGTCTACATGGTAGCCCATTGGATTTACAGCTGAAGAAATCTAAGCAAAGAGGCTGAACAAGTTGTTCTCTGTTACCCAGCCATCAAGTAGTAGAGATGGAGTTTAAATCCAGAACTCAACCTCCTTTTCCTGCTCTGTGCTGCCACCTGGCCTGGAGGGCAGCGTGGTCAGAAACCAGAAGTCCTGAGCCCAAATCTGAACTCGCTATGTGATCGTAACATCTCTGGATTTCAGTTTGCTCATCTGCCCAACACAAAAAAAATCGTGGCTATCTGGAGATTGAAGCATGAGGGGTGGGGAATTACAAAGGAGCCTGAGAGAATCTGGGGGCAATGGGCATATTCACTATCTTGATTGTGATGATGGTCTTACCAGGACACATATATGTCAAAACTAACAGAACTGTACCCCTAAGTATGTATGTTTCATTATATGTCAACTATATCTCAATCTAGCTGTTTAAGGCAAAACAAGATACCATTTTCCACCTTAACAGGTTGGAAAAGATTAAAAACTAAGATCAAGTTGGTGAGGAGATAGGAAATGAGAACTCTCCCTCAAGGTGCAAGTGAAAATTGGTATCATCTTTTTGGAGTGCAGTTTAGTAGCAATTATAAAAGCCTGAATGCAAATGCATATGGCCCCACAGCCCCTCTCGCTAGCATTCTGGTGCTACGCAAAGGTGTCTGACCCAGCACATCTAGAAGGCTGCAGGAGGCAGAGGGCAAGAACAGACAAATACAGTTTGGATCCCGATTCTAATCTATGCCAAGCCTTAGCTTTGAGACTGTACATCTCAGATTTCTTATCTGTAAAGCAGGAACAGAAATTGCTTTAAGACTGTTAGATACAATAATATATTCAAAGCATAAGGAATATTGCCTGTATAGTGATTAGTTACAAAAGGAGCCGCTTGGGGGGCTAAAAACAAAAGGATCACTGATCTGAGTAGTGAAACCCTGTAGACCCTGTACTACATACATTAAAAAAAGAAAAATTAAATCAGAGGAGCAAATCTCAGAACATAATGTGTACAGTGCAATTCTATTTTTATAGGAGAGAAATTATCTATGGGCATGACAGAGGTCACCTCAGGAAGCTGGGGAGATACTGGAGAAATAAGATGTCTAATAGTGATTTTACATGGTTATTTTTTACAACGTGTTATCAATAATCTTTCATACTTTCTTAAATGAAAAACAATAATAAAAAGACATGAATTACAAGGAAGCAGCATTCTTAATTTTTGCATGTGTCAGTTAGAATCCAGGTTCTTGGATGATTCGAGACCTCTGTTATATTCTTGGTTCCCTTCAGCACCCAGCACAGTGTCGTGGCATCCCACAAATGCTTGCATAGATAAACCGTAGCTTCTGAGGGGGACGCTTCACACAGGGTCTGAGGACTAAGACAGCTAGAGCCCCTGCCATTCGTGCTGAGGCCAGTCTTCTCTGTATTTCAATGTTTGTCTTTGGAGATGCCTTGCAACAAGTATGTCCCCAAACAAACAAGAAAGAAAATTTGCCCTTTAATTGACTATAGAAGCAGTATAGATGGGAGAAAGAAATAGCAAGAGAGGGCTTAAAGGAGAAGAAAAGAGAAGCTTCGATGGAAAGGCGTGGGTGAGCAGATCTGTAGTCACTGGCTCCTCAAGCTCGCTTGTGACACCTTCTCAGGTGACACTTCTTCAGCCCTCCCGCTTAGCAGGGATTGCTGCTCCTTTATCTCCTTGCTGGCCAATCTTTTAATGTCAATGCAAAGACTCAGAGATGACACTGGCTGGGAATAACACAGGAAAACCTTTCTTAAAGTACCTTCTTTCCTTACCCTGAGATGGTTTACATCTCCTCTTCTCTTTGAAAATGTATCCTAGTGACTATTAGTACACTTCCTCCCTGGCCCTCCCTGATGTTTCCATTCTTGGAAAACAACTGATCTGGTCCAGTTCCATGTGACAGAGGAGGACTTGAGAGTCAGAAGATATGGTTTGTCTGAGGGGACACGGCCACCCATAAATGGATAAAAAGGACAAAGACCCAGGCCTCTTCTTGTTCAATGTTCCCTTCATTCACTGTCTGGTCTGCCCCTAACACAGTCTATTTAGCAGCACTGAATGCCTCCAAGAAGCTGGTTTTGCAAAGAGAAAAGGCACAGTATTATTCTGGGAAGAGCTGGGAACATAGAGAGAAGGAAGGGTGGTAGCAGAAGAGATTCATTTCTTTGCTTGTTTATCTTGTTTTGTTTGACATAGAGTCTCACTGTGTAGTCCAGACTGGTCTTGGGCTCACTAAGTTGTCCAGGCTGACTTGCGGTGATCCTCCTACCTCAGTCCACTGAGTGGTAGGATTGCATGTGTGTGCCACCATGGTTTTTTTGGGGGGCGGGGAGGCGGGCAGAACCAGGGATTGGACTCAGGCCCTTGCGCTTGCCAGCACCATGCTTGGCTTAGTGAAGTCCATTTCTGTTGACTTCTTGGCAGCCACTGGGCCTCTGCTTCCTTATCTGAATAAGGACTGGACTTACAGACTCTGCAGTTAAGAACAAAGCATTTTCTAACGGAAAACAGGACTCATGGCTTTGGGTTCGCAGCCTAGTGCTGCTCCAGGCTGGTGCTGTGGAGTCTTGTCTGTCTACCATGGGAGATTGAAATTGTCAGAACTCAACTCGCAGATCTAGGTTATTGCATCATATGTTAAAAACAGTAACAACAAAGTAACAGAAACCCCTCTTGAGCTCTTAGGAGTTGCTATGAAACTGTCATTTCCTGGAGCTGAATTTCAGGTAAGACCGTATTTCACCTACCTAGAGGAATACTGAGTTCACTGAACACGTCCTCTGGTTCCCAGGAAGGCAAAGAAAGGGGCTCTTTTGTGTAGTCCGGTGATCTCACATCCAGAGATTTCATTTCCAGGTACCTGGGGTTTTCTGTAAAACGTGGGCCAAAGCAAAAAAAAAACCAACCAACCAAACAAACAAACAAAAAAAACGAATGAAACGCAACCTCTAGGAGTCATGTAATTCTATTCCCTGCACTGGGGATTGGGCACTGTCCCTGACTGCTTAATCACATGAGGCTGGGGCCGTGACTGCTAATTAGAACCAAAGTGCTATAATTAAGAGTGTGTTCCACTGCCAAAAGAATGGCACACAGAAGAAAACTTGGCAAACCTTTGTACTTGGCCGGGGGGGATGGGCAATTAATGCCTTTAGCTGAGATGATCCACCCCCTTTGCACCCCCAAGTCAGTATCACCCCACCTCTGCAAATAGAGGAATTGTTGAAGGGCAAAAATTGTGCTGACATCCACTGAGAGTGACATAAAAGGCCACGCCATTCCCATCCCAGGATCATGAAGCAGTGTCATTAAATATGAAATCCAAACACTGTGGCAAACTAATAAACTACTAACACCGGCCTGTGCTCAGACCTAGATTGCAAAATAAAAGGGTTCAATTGGAGTGAGGTGAAAACGTGTCTGCCTTTATTCTTGCTTCTCTTGCCAATGTGGGTCTCAGCGTTTCTCCAGCAACAAGCAGGCAGTCCACAGCACGGTTTCCATGGAGATACAAATCCGGGCAGGTGAAAAACAGCTCAGGTCAGCTTGACATGGAAGCAAGCCCAAGTGGCTGGATCACCTGCCAGCTTGTGCCACCCGCAAGGATTTCAGGAAAAATGTGCGCTTTTCACTTTTCCTATTTTCTGACTCTTGCTTCAGCCCTGGTTATGCCACAAGCTTTCAGTAAAATGACTCTCTAGTTATTTTCACTACGAGAATCTTAAGGGCTACTATCCCTCTCTTCCCCAGAGCCATCCATAGATCTCAGTTTGCACTTGGCAGAGAAGCCATGGCTTAGTCTATTTTAAACTCTATTTTATGATGTCACAGTGCCAAGCATAGCCACTACATCACCTCTGGTGGAGGCAGGATTGCGCTCGGACAAATCTTCTACAATTGTCAGACCCTACAGAAAACTGGGTCTAAGTAGGAAAAGGGGGGGGACCCATATTCCTTAATAAGTTCCTATTCTTTCTCCATCCACCCCTTCCCCACCTCCTACCACAAGGAGTACAGCCTGGGGCTCTGCCGATTTGCACATAAGACCAGCAGGCTGATCCCAAGGGACCTACTTTTAGTTGTCCAAGGCCATCTGGGCCCCCCTAAATACAGAGAAGTCTAGCTTATTTGAGTTCTCAGAACATGCAGCCTCTCAACTGGTTTCCTGTATGATACTTGCCTGAAAGCCCTCACAGCCTAACCAGGCTCCCAGGGGCTTGCTTCCATTCCTGCAGAACCTGCTGCTCTCCTTCCCTCAGCTCTACTCCAGCCTGCACCTCCCTGCACTTCCTGAGGACAGCAACAGTCCAGTCCACCCAACCACCCGTAAGAACAGGGGAGGTAGTTACCCTCAGTCAACACGCCTTGGCAAGTCTGGCTTTGGAGGTCGGATTCAGGGGGGGCGCTGGCTTTTTCCTCCTGGGGTGTGCCTTCACAAGCCCCGTCTTCGGGGGTCCCCCTGGTCTTGCAGTCATCTGGAAAGGGGCTAGGCTGCTGGGCCCTCTCCTCTGCTGGCTGGGGGGAAGACATTTCTTGGGCTGCAGGGACCAGACACACATCTGAGCTCTGCGTTCTCTCTGCGTCCTCCTCATAGCAGTCGGAATCCTCCAGTGAGAGGCCTGTCTCGCATTCAGCTGGCTTCCGCTCAGCATCCAGATTTAGGCCAGGCACTTCCATGTTCGTGTCACCGGGACAGCTCATGGAGGCAGAAGACAGTTGTCTGGGAAACTTGAGGCTAGTTTGCGTGGCCCCATTCCCTATGGTCTTAACTCCTTCATTAATGAAATCCAAATCCTTGGCCACTTCCAGGTCTAAGGTGCTTTTTACACAGGGACATATTTCAGGGCAGATTTTGTCTTTCTGGTCAATAGGCATGATTTCTTCCAACTCTGGGATGTCCGGTTCCATAATAAAATCTTCTTCTTCCCCCACCTCATCTACTGTAACCAGTTCCTCCATATTGGTGGGGTACCAGCTCTCTCCTTCTGCCTCACTTCCACTTTCCCAATCTTGTTCCTATAAACAAAAAAAAAAAAGAAAAAAAGAAATACTAGAATTGACATCAAAGGATGGCTGAGCCCCTTCAACCAAAAGGCACCAACCTTGACCATGATGACACTCAAGTCAAAAAGATCCTGAGCATTCTTCCTTCTACCTGGGCACAGTCATGGTAATTAGAAACTGTGCCTCACATCCCCTACTCACTCTTAGGAAAATGTCCTAAGTGGTACAGGGTTTAAGTGTAAGTCCCAGTCCTCTACCCACCATGTTTGAGACTATGACAAGAATTTCAGCCCTGGTCCATAACAGTTTTTGAATGAATGAACAATTTACAGGTGCTACATGTCTGCTGGAGCAATTTCCTTGTATGTGGGGGCATCACTAGATGTGACTATCGTTACAAACTTTCTCCCAGCACTGGCCCTGCAGCCTACAAACCCCAGCAGACAGATTTAAGAGCTCAGATTCTCCTGACCGGAAGAACATGAAGCTGGCCACATTCCAGGAACATTTCTCTTTACTGTGGAAGTCCCAGCCCAGGAAGCCTGGAACTGGGTTCCACTTTTTAATTACATAAAATAATCTTTATTAATGCGGTAGATGCTTTGTTGATCCCAGCATCTGAGCTCCTAAGATCAGGGCCCCAGCTCAGGTACTCAGAACAGGATCCCCCCTATGGGGGGATCTCCCTAAGGTATGTGCCTATTTTGGGAGCCTGGCTCTTAACGCCTGAATGTTTTAGGGGGCACATATTTTCTCATAGGGGAGCAGCCACATTGCTGGAGAGAGAGGCAGGGCGCAGGCGTACGGGTAAAGATCCCCCAGTAGACTATCCAGAGATTATCCCCATAAGTTCTGGAGGTAAACAGGCCTTTCCTGGAACTGCTGGTGGGCTCTGAGACACATTCGTATGGGGGCAATTTCCAGGCAGGAGGGAGACATCTATGACTCAGTCCCTGGTGGGGGAAGTGCAGATGTGATGACGCTGCCAGTGTCTAGGACAAATTTACCTTCCTCGTCCCTGCGATTTTTGGATCAGAGGGCTCTGACTCTTTCTCCTGTTTGTCCACGGACTGGGGGATTTCTTCCATGCCCTCCTGCTCCTCTTTTGTAGCCTTACCAGAGGAAGAAAAGAAACAAAATCAACAGTGAATAGAGGTAGAAAAAAGAGGGAACATCAAGAGAAAAAGGGTGACAATGGACACAGATACGCTTCACACACGTCGTTCCTTTTCCCTCACAGAGCCCCGCAGAGGGCTGCGACTATTCTCACTTTACAGAATGAGGAAACCGAGGCTCAGAGAGGCTAAGAACTCGCTCACCATTGCACAGACAGATGGAGTAGAGAAATGTTTTGACGGCTGGTGTGACGTCCTTAGGACTCAGAGATCTCTGGAAAAGTGGTATTTGTTACAACCAGGGTCAGTAGAAAAAGCCAAGAGTGAACGGACTGGGGTCAGCCCTGGAGTTGGCCATCACCCTGACACTCCCCAGTAGACTTCTCCGAACCATAAAACATGACATTCCAGCCCTTATCAGGGGAAGGAGCTGGCACTCCCGGGGCCCTCTCACCTCTCTTTCAGCCTCACTGACCCACAAAGCTACAGAACAAATGAGCACTCTCTTCCTTTGCCCTTCCTCCTCTTCCTCCCCAGGGAAGGTCCACGTGGTAACGTCCCAGATGAGAAACTGAACACCTGAAGCCGCTGTTCACAGTTCGATTTGAGAATTCAGACTGCTCACCAGACTTTAAAACAGGGATCAACAATCTATGTTCTGCAGGCCAACTCTGACCTGTGGTCTGCTTTTAGTCTGTAAGCTAAGAACAGATTTTATAGCTCTGAACAGTGAAATTTTAAGTGGCTATGTAAGTACCCACATAAAATCCTATGTGTTGCCTGATGGGCCACATAAACTAAAGTGTCTTCTACCTGGTCTCCTGTAGAAAAGGCTTGCAAAGCTCTATCTTAGATGTTTCTGGGAGGTTCTCTCCCATGCCTTTGACTTTTGTCATTAAGTCAATGACTATTTCTGGGTTTCTTCAGGGGCAAGATGTATTTTCTTGACTTTGTTGGCTGAGGCTGGTTCAAAGGAAAGGACTTGATTTTAATTGCTCAGGAGACACGCCTCCCTGAGCTGGCGTCGGGCCAGCTGGGCCAGGTACCCAGGGCTGACTGGTTCAACTAGTTATTACTGAACAGGATGGGTAGTACTGATCCTCAAGGGTTTGAAGCAACAGACAGCACTGAATGCTCGAGTCTCCTGAGCTAACTGCAAAGAAGCTGCAGGTCCCTTCTTAGTTGTTAGAAGCCATTGATGACCACTTTATTTTGATCCCATCGGTTTATTCATGGCCTTTCCTTGTCAAAATAATCTTGCTGAGCATGGTAGTGCATGCTGTAATGCCAGCATTGGGGAGGTGGAGGCAGGAGTACCAGCATGAGTTTGAGGCTAATCTGGGATATTTAGTGAGTTCAAGGCCAGCCTGAACTGCATAGGAAGATCCTGCTTCAAAACAAACAGACACGCAGAACAAGACAAGACCAAAACATATCTTTATCCTTCACCAGCAGTTTCCGCAGACATATTCCTTGGGGCACACAGTTCAGAATTTCTCTCCAATGCAAACTGGGAGAGATGGAGACAGCCTTGGGGATGCTGCCCAAAGGCCCCAGCAGGCAGAACCCCACAGGCAAAGGCAACTCAGTGCCTTTCAGGGTTTCCCTGTGCTCTGGAGTCACTTCTAGGTGAGGGCTGCAGCCTCAAGGACCAGAAAAATGCAACCCATGCACCCAACCCACCCTGCGGCCCACACCAGCTGGCAAACCAGGATGTTAGGTCCCAACAGTTGGGAGCAGGGCTCTGCCACCACGGGGCCTCAGCTACTTACTGCCAAACCCCCGCCTAACTGGTTCTTCTCTCCACCTGCTCTATATGCCGCCCTTCCCATCCCCCAGGGCAATCCAAATGATTGCCCCCAAATGCAAATCTGTCACATCCTCACTGTACTTTCTTGCCAGAAATTTCATTTGCTTCCCATTGCATTTAGGATAAAGACAGAAAGTTTTGAATCTGCCTGCCAGGCCTGCATGAAGTAGTCCGCCTGACACACTGGTCTCGCCTCCTGACGTGCTAACCTGCCTCTGTGCTCCAGCAGCTCTGGCTTCTGGCCCTTAGGATTCCCCACACACTCTCTCTCCTGTTCACAGGAGCAATGACTTGCCTAGCATGTCTTTCCACTAGACTGAGCTCCAGGAAACGAGACAGCATTTCAGTTTCACTCGCAACACAACTCGTGCTAAGCGCTCCATGGATGTTGGTCAAGGAAAGAATGGAATTTCCAGAAGGGCGTGGGGTGAGAAACAAGTTCATCCTACCTCCCAGCAGGCTGGAGTACATGTCTGGGCTCTGGATTGGGCACGACTGGTTTGTTTCTTCCTCTTGTGGATTGTTTATACTAAGGTTTGCATTCTGCAGCCCCTGGGCTGCATGTGACCCACAGACATGTCTGGTGCCTGTGTTTTCCAAGCAAGCATGTTTTCTAAATGTTACACACATGGCCAGTCTGGACTTGGGTCTTGCTTTAAGCAAAGGGAGCTCGCACATTCAGAGACACATGTTCCTGAGCAGCAGCTGCCACGTCGCCCTCTACGGAGAGGCACTATCTCCTCAGTGTGCCACAGCCCCATCACTCCTGTCTGGCCCCGCTCACCCTACATGGTTCTGCTCCCCTCGCCATCCCGAGGTGTCCGGTTCTGTAACATTTGATGCCTCCTTCTGGCAAGATGAAGGAGCGCTTCTCTCTCAGATCTTCCTGTTCAGTTACTTCATTTCTTCCTAGAGTCCTGTGGTCAGGGCTGGTTCCATGTGTGGGCTTGGCCACTCCCAATCCCTGCATGGAACCCATGGGGGTTCTCTGCACAAGCACGTTCTCTAGAGATCTCAATGGTCTCCAACAAGCACAAGCTCATTAAAGTGCGACAGCTACACAGCGATCACATCCACTTTACAAAGAAAAATACAGAGACAGGGAAGAGCAAGGTGTCACCATGATTCCAAGAAGCCAGGCCTTCCTTCCAGAGTCTGGGCTCATCCCTCCTTCAGCGCACACCTATCAGATACCCACTAACAGCCTTGGTTATGTGGAGGTGACACGTGGGGTGAGGGCACATGCTAAACAAAGCAAGGGCACTAGCTGATTGGTGGTGCCGATACTGAAAGGCTGGAAGGGCACCTAGTGAAGACAGAGGACCACATACACCTCTTATTGACACTCTCTGGGGGTCACTAGAGCTTCAGGATCAAATTCATCCAAGGGCCTGCACCAGCCCCCCCCCTTACTGTCCCTAATCACACCCCCTGTGCTTCCCTCTGCTATTCCAGTCAATAAAACCTGTGACAGACTTTACCATGGGCAAAAAAGAAAAAGATAACCAGGCACCCTTTCAGTAGAATTCTGGGACCTGCGCAGCACATTTCCAGGGCACCTGATTCTAAAGGGCTCTTCACTCTTCCCAATCTTAAACTAAGCTGCTTTGCAACTTGGTTGGTTGCAGAAAACTGACAGTGAGCCAGATGATTCCTGCTCACTGAGATACGCGTGAATTGTATCTAATAGAGAGCCAATGGGTTCCCTGCCCTCTCTGGAAGAGGTTCATAGCTTAGCAAATTCACTTCAGTAGTTCTCATTGCTTAGATACTGATCAGCTCTTTGGAGTCTCCTTGGAGCTTTTATTTTATTTTTTTATTTTTCTTTATTTATTTTAATGTATTTAGTACAGGGTCCACAGGGTCTCACTACACAGATTGGACTCATAGTGATTCTCTTGTTTTCAGCCTCCCAAGCACTGGGATTACAGGTGTGCACCACCATACTCAGTCTCAATCACAGTCTCAGTGTACCCTGGGGGTAGGACCAGAGTGGCAGGCCGGGGATCGAACCCCAGTCTCTGTGCCTACCTAAGCAGGCACTTTAGACCACTGAGCTATGGAGCTGACTTATATCTCATGGTTCCTTCAGTAATGAATGAGTTGAATAAACTCCTTCCCACATATTCCTGATATGGTCATGCCAGAGTCATGATTTTATTTTTTTAAAAACATTATCCTTAAATATGCTCTAAAGATACAGCCACACGGAGTATCTAGTTTCCTGACAAAAGTCTTTTGTTCTCATTTTTGGTCCTGCAGTTGCTTCTACCAAGAATCCCAAGCGGCTTTCTGTCCACTTTCCATACCCAGCCTGAACACCACTTCCTCCGCGCTGCTTTCTTCCTTCTCCTGGCAGCGTTAATTACCCCCAGCGCGGCCAGTGCTCTGTACATTCTGCCACGGGTCCTCGCGCATAGAAGCAATTTCACGGGTCAATTTCCTCCCACGGACCCTGAGCTCTCCCACAACACGAGCTCCATCCTAGCAACCCTTGGATCCTGTGTCAGCACACCACTAGCCACAGCGGCGTTCCACGACATGCATGAGGAAAAGATGGGTACAACAGCGGCCCAGAGTGTCTCTTCTGTGCTCATGGAGTTGAGAACTGGGTTTCTTCTTAGGACTTATTGTCACCAACTTATTTATTTATTTATATTTGGCACAGGGTCTCACTAGACAGCTCAGACTTGTAGTGATCCTCCCATCTCAGCCTCTCCAGCACCTGGGGTTCTGCGGCCCACATGGCACATGGCACCGGGGATTGAACCTGCTTGCCAAGCAGATGCTTAGACTGCTGAGTTATTTCCCCAGCCCTGTCACCAACTCTTGGGTCAGAATAACTAGAAGACAGGCATGGAAGAGCTTAAAAAGTAGGTTCCTCATACAGAGACCCGACCCTCTACGTTAGACATAGGAAGCTTTGGTTAGAGGGTATGTAAGCCAGGTCAGAATGCAAATCCAGGACCTGGATTCCTCCCTGTGAACCCCTGTGTGAACTGAGATGGTGCCACAGATCTGGGCCCTGGTAGACACTTGAATGAAAATTGCAGCCGATTGCCCGTGCTTTTATTAAGATGGAACTAAAATCCTGTGGGTAGCAAAAAAACACACCACACCCTGGGCACCCAGTATAATTTAAGGGGTGGAGGCTGCTTCTCCTTTACAACTTTTCAGAGCTCCTGGGTTAGTAGACGCTTTTGGCAGGAGAGAGGACAGAGTGGACCAAAGATCTAATCTCCTCTGTGGACTCTGTGGGCGTAAACACCCCTCCTTGGACAAACAGAACTACGCAGGGCCTTCTGTATGTTCTTCCCTAACTTCTAGTAAAAGCAAGACGGTACTGTTGGATGTGGGGCTGAAGCACCGGGGTGTCATTCTGGCTCTGTCACTTCCTGACTGACTGCTCCTGGGAAAATAACATAGTTCTCTGTGCCTCAGTTTCTTTATCAGCAGAAATAGAAGTGCTAACCCCATAGGGACTCTGTGAGGTTACATTGAGACAACAACATGTCTAGCACCATGCCTAGCATGTAGTAAACATTCAATAAAAGTTTCATTCACTCAATCCTCATTCATTCATTCATTCATTCATTCATTCATTCAGTAAATGGTCATCATACTTATATTATTGTCAGTATTTTCCTCCGGGGCCTGCCTCATCTTACCTGGGAAGCAATTGCATCATTACCTCATTCTCTGCCGTTTTCTTTTCTTTTCTATCGTCAGCTCCTTCTTGATCTCTATCAGGCCTCTTGGTTTTATTTTTCTCACTCTGCTTGGACTTGGTGTCCTCAGGGGTTCTAGTGACCTTGGGCCCCAGCCCGTCTTCCTTGCCTGAGTCATCTGGGTGGGGGTGTCTGCTCTCCCGCAGCCTGGCCTCTTCTTTCCTCCTAGACTTCCCAGGACCATCCTGCTGCTTTAGGTACTTTTCTGTCTTGGTTTTGGGCTCTTTCCGGTAGTAGCCATCCTCCCGGGACTTGTAGCTGGGTGCCGAGTGCAGCGGGCTGAGGCAGCCGGACCTCAGGTACTTCTCCCGGTGGCCCCTTACTCCTTCCAGGCGCTCATCCGGCTCGGCCTTGTCCGGGGGCCGGGGGTAGTGTCTGCGATCATGTGCCCACGTGTCTGTCCTGTCCCGTGTATCCTCCCCATTCTCCCTCCAGGGCAGGGGCTCTCGGTCTTCCTCCCTCCAGGCATAGGGAGAGTGCTCCCAGGAGTCCCGGCCGTTGCCCCAGTCAGCTCGGGAGGGGCCTGGAGGGCTATGTGAGGAGCTGCAAGAGGTGAAGCTTGGAGTATGTGACCTTGGGGACAAAGACCGGCTCACAGGGCTGCGAGACCGCGGCCGTTCCGGGCCGTATCTGTGAGGCAGCAAAAGAGGGGGCGTTAGAGTCTGCGTGCGTACCCCTACCCAGCCCCAATCTCCACCATCTATCTCCTGGGTATATGGGGCACAGCCCGCGCAGCTGTGTGCTCCTAGTTGCCGCTGTCCAGACCCACACAGAGGCTAGATAGAAAAAAGGCCATCTTCCCTCCTGGTCTCTGTGAGGAAGGATTTTTCCCAAGCATGGTGTTGGCCACTGTGCCCCTGTCCTCATCCTGGTCCTGGGAGCTAGAGAAGATGTTTGGATTCCTTTGGCTCAGCCCTACTCTTTTTGGAAGTAAGTTACACCCAGGGAACAGGCCCTTGTCTCTCTCCTGGGAATTGAGATCCTGGGCTTGGGGCAAGGCAGCTCATGAGGGGCAAGGTCAGGTGAACCCAAGACTCTGATAGCCAGCCCTTGCCTCTCAGACTCAAACCACTCCTCCACTTGCTCTCTATCAGAATATAGGATGCCTCCTGGCCTCCATCTCACTCATTTAGTCTCGTCTTAATTTGTCAACATTCTAGACATAGAAAATGAGATGCTAATAGTTGGGAAGCGGCAAAAGTAAGGGTAGTGATTCCAAAAATAATGACCCAGGAAGAGAGTGAAAGAAGACTCAGAAATCTGACCATTATGTTAGAGGTACGGAACCTGACAAAGTCGGCACACCTCCTCTACACTGCCACAGAGCTGCAGGGGGCGTGGTGTGGCTGCACACACACCATTTAAAAGCCCAAGGAACCACAGTTTAGAAAACATAGACAAACACCCAAAGCCTGAACATGTAAATACCCACAAAACATTCGCATGCCGAAGGTTGGTAGTTAAGCAGATCCACTGAATCATAGGTGGTTTTCCTTTGGGTCTTAAGTGAAGGACAGCCACTAGCTCTTACTGGCCATAGGACACGGATGTTGTCTGCCAGGCAGGACAGGCTGCCTTGAGCACCATGGGAAATGGCCTGGGCTATACCCTGTGAAGAGTGCTAGAGCGCCCCCTGCAACAAACATGGGTAAGACCCACAGACTGTGCCAGCAGGTGCCTGGCCAGGCTGCTCCCCACCCGGCACCCCGTCTGGCTCCACCCCCACCCCAGGGCTCTCCTAGGACTGTCTTTGCAGGGTCATCTTGTATCCCCACCTTTGCCTGGCTGCTTACAAACTTCAGGCAAAAGAATTGAGTTGGCAAACTGTACACATGGGATGTTCAGAGTAAATGTTCAAGAAATTGTTTGTTTTTCCACATCTACATTTAGGTCATGAAAAATCAAGAGTTGGCTCTAATGAGAAATCCCTCTCCTATGCTGCCACATGCACACCTGTGTGTTCAGGCTGTTCCAGCAGAGTGTAGGCTGCCTCTGAGGGCCAAACGTTAGCAAAGACTTTGCTGTATCCTTTCCAGGAAAGAAGCAGTGGAGGAAAAGTGCATCCTGCACTTCCCTGAGCTGAACCTGTGCTGCCCTTCTGGCCTCCGCTGTGTTTCCCAGAATGCAGATAGGTAGGGCTCAGCAGGCACATGACAAGGCAGGGGCAAGGGCAAGGCACGGTGCCACCCAAGTCCATCTAGGAATGAGCAGCGCGAGTCCAGAAGCCTTCCTTACCTGTCTGCGTCCCGGAACATGTCCCTCTCCCTCTGGGAGTGGATGTCTTGGATGATAGCAGCCACGGCTTTCCCCGGTTTCTAGGAAACCAAAGGGCAGCATGAGACCAGAGTCAGCCTAGCGAATGCCAGAGGGAAGCAGGCGTGACTGGGCTGCTGGTGGCCCGGTACACCCGAGAGTGTAAGGTGCCTTTGGTGAGGAAGAAATTATGATCAAAGGCTGAGGAGTGTGGGCACAATGTGGTAGAGAGCGGGCCTGAGGGGCACAGAACACGGCAGCCACCGAGCAGGGGACAGAAGAGCCTGGGCTCCCTTCCACACACTGGACAAAAAGCATTTGTTAATTCTCACCTCTCTTCTCCCCTCAAATGAACAAAAAATATTTACAATGTGGAAAGAGGAAGGCAGGGAAGAAAGGAAGAACACCCTGGCAGGTAAACCCAGAAAGCGACCTGAAGGTCCCTGAATATCGGTCTTTCACACGTGCGTAAATTCACTCAAGACCCATACAGGCAGCCTCTGTTCTGCATAACGCCAGGGTCCTTACAACAAGTGACTCTTGGCGTGCAGGGTTCAAGGTCGCAGAGGTTGTTACAGAATAGACGCTGTCCCTCCGGGTTCCTTCCATGCCCCGTGACCCCTTCAATCTCTCGTTCCAGGGTGTTCATCCCAGGAGTCATCTGGCACTCCGTGATTCTGCAACACATCTCACAGCAGAGAACGCCTGGATTCTGCCCTTCGCATAGCTCACTGTGTGCCAGGGCAGGGCCACACCCAACCCCCAAAGGCCCTTTCTACACCATGAATGGACAAATGATTTTTTTTACATACTTTAAAAAAAAGTGCATGGCCATCAAAGGAATTTAATCAACTGCTCTCTCTATCCTTGATTTCTTTCTCATGTAAAGCATGATGCCTTAGGCACTATTCCAGGGCTAGGTAGCACCAAGCGCCTCATTGTACAGATGGGAAAACCAGGTCCAGAGGCTTGAAGTGGCTGGGGGTAGAATGCTGTTATTCTTGGAGCAGCACACTATGAGACTGAAGGGAAGCCACAGGGGAGAATGAATGGGGGAGGGGCCTGTGGTGTCAGGTGAGAGGTCAGGGCTGGGACACAGGGAAAGATGGGGAATGTTCAGCCAGGGAGAGATGCCTGTCAGTTCAAGTTGCAAGCAGAAAGAAAATCAAAGAGAATATAGTGACCCTGACCCTGTGATCCCAGGGAGATGGCTCAGTGGAATAAGTACTTCCCTGGCAAGCGCAAGGGCCTGAGATCAATCCCCAGTTCCGCCAAAAAAAAAAACAAAAAAACAAAAAACAAAACCCTGGGATCATAAAGAAGGAGAAGCACAAGAAGCCAATCACTGTTCCTGTGAAAGAAATGACCAAGGAGCTGATATTGGCCAGGATATTAACTTAGAAAGCGCCCCACCAATTTTGGCAAATGGCAACTTAACCATAAGGTTAACCTTATCATCTCCCAGATATACCACGTTCAGGTCACCCAGAACACACACCGTCCCCTAGCACCTCACCTGCCTTTTTTTTTTTTTCCCAAAAATTTTATTTATTTTTTTCCAGAAAATTAAGTACTAATTAATTAAAAATTAAATGTTTCAAAACAATTGAACTAAGAAAAAGTTTTCATGATAGCAAAGAAATACTAAGAGTAAAACATAAGATAAATACTGGAATGGCAAATAAATGACCAGCACTTCTAACAGTTCGAGAATACAATATCGCACAAAGTTCTAGTGTGTTGTGGACATGCATAATGACCATGACAGTTACTGATGGCCAGGCGTCACTTGAGGAACAACTATTTCTTTGAAATCCACTCTGTACACTCAGGTGGAATCATGACCTATAGGGTGGAAGAGAAGTCCATTTGCAGAGTATGCTGATGGCAATATTTTGCTGCTGAACACAAAAGAATAACTGAAAGACTACTATTGTATACCTCTTATTCTCCTGTGTTTAATCATTTGCCCTATTTGGTAGTATCTTTCCATTCTCATTCATGAGGCTGTGATCAATTTGCTCCCTCTCCAGAACATCATTTAGTAGTCTGTGTAGGCTTGGCTTTGTCATCATGAAATTCTTCAGTTGTTTTTTGTCATGGAAGTATTTCACTTCTCCATTATACGTGAAAGAGAGTTTTGCAGGGTATATCAGTCTGGGTTGGAATTTGTTTTCTTGCAAGACTTGAAGTACTTTGCTTCATGCTCTTCTTGACTTGATGGTTTGTGAAGAGAAGTCGGCCGTTATTCTGATGGGTTTTCCTTTAAATGTGATCTGTTTCTTTTCTTTAGCGGCTTTTAGTATACTGTTCCTATGCTGAATTTCTGGGATCTTGATTATGTCTGGGTGTGCTTTTCATTGGGTTGATGTTATTTGGAGTTCTATATGCTTCAGTTACTTGAATGTCAGATTGTTGCCCCATATTTGGGAAGTTTTCTGCTATTGCTTCTGCCCATATTCTTCTTATATCATTTGTATTGACTCCCTCCTTCTCATTGATGCCTTATTAGTCTCACATTGTTCAACTTTGCATCATCTTGCAGGTATTGAATTATTTTTTCCTGCATCCTAGTTGTTTCTAAGAGATCGTTTCTTCCTTTTTCACTAGCTGCAATGGTGTCTTTAAGGTCAGAAAGTCTATTTTCACTTTCCCTCAAACGGTTTTGCCAGCTTGTGATTGAGGTTTTAATTTCCTGTATATCACTTTGAACCTGTTTCATACATTCCATTTCTTTCCTAAATTGCTTATTCAGGGGTTCCATCATTTTTATATTCTGCTGTATTTTTTTATCAGTGTATTCTTTAGAAGCACTTAGTACTTCTTTGATTATAGTTATCACTACATTTTTTAGTTCCGAAATTATTTCTGATCTGATTTCTTCTATACCTTTCTGCAGTTGTTTCTTTACTTCCCATGCTATTATTTCAGAGATATCAGGTGTGTGATTTCCAGTTTCCTCAGTGCTAGTGTCTTCTGCATTTGTACTGGGTGGACTCGGGGCCTGAGACTGCATTTTGTTCCTTCTCTTTGTCATTTTGCATACCACTGTCTTCTGAACTTTGGTGTAGAGCTTAGATAGTTATTACCTTAGTGCCAGGTCCACTTCTACGAAGTTTAGATTCCTCCAGGTGGGTGTTGCTTGGATCTGGCTGGAGTCTGGCTGCTGTGCTCTACTTCTTTCTGTGGCAGCCATTGGAGTGGAACCCTTTGTGTCACTCTGGCAAGATGTTCTGCTCCTGAATCAGCTGGGTGTGTCTTGCCTCTAGCCTCTTTGCAGGGAGTTCTGCTGAAGGGTTCCACGCCGGGCCTGAGCTCTGGGTCTATTCAGGATCCAGTGGGTCCCAGGTAGTCTCATTCACACACCGGGTCTGTGCTCTGGATCAATTCAGGATCCGGCAGCCCCAGGTCCTCTCACTCACTCGGGCCTGCGCTCTGGGTCTATTCAGGATCCGAGGGACCCGGGTTCTCACTCACTCACCCCGGGGCCTGCGCTCTGGGACTATTTGGGATCTGGCGGCCCCGGGCTGTCTCACTCACTCCCACCTCACCTGCTTGAACCCGACCACCACAGAGCTCAAGGCTGAGTGAAGAAGAGGCCAGAGTTGTTGGCCTGGCCGAGAAGGAACCAGGCACCCAGGTGCTTCCTTGTGCCCACCCTATCACCCTGCTCAAGTCCACCAAACCCTCAGTCAGGGTCACTGATCACCCCCTTGAGGTAGACAACAGTGGCTCATTTGTAAGTGACTGCATTTAACATGGGTCCCACCAATGGGTCATCTTCCTACCTCCCCACTTGCGGTCACACAGTGGAAGTCAGCGCTCAATGACCAAAGGAGGGGCCTGCTGCAGCGCCACCTTCCGACTGGCTAACACGTGATGGACAGTGGAGCAGACACCTGGGCCAAGTCCGTGTGAAGATGCGCATGCCACCACTCTGGAGGCCATCGCCCCAGGGCTCAAAGTATAGCTCACACTGCCCCGCTGTCCAGAAGGAACAGATACAGCCTAAAGCATGTGCTTCCAAGGGAGGTTAAATGTCCATAGGTGTTTCAGAGTATAAAAATAAAAATTCCTCCAGGGTATTGGGTAGGGAACCGTCTGTGTAAGATGAGTTCAATCTACTGTCTCTCAAGTAAATGTTTGTTTTGGTTTTTTAAAAAAGGGTAATAAATGAAAACAAGAGACAAGAAAAAAAAAGTGATAGGACTGTCCTACTACAATGTTGTATATGGTTAGATTTCTAAATTTCTGTGTAAAAATATGTAACTGTTTTTTCCTTTTTTTTTTTTTTTTTTTTTTTTTTTTTTTTTTGACTGTCATATGGAGAATTTATTTGTACTCTAATAATTAAATAACATGCACCTTTCCACTGAGCGGCTTTACGGGTCATGGCCAGCATAGAACTTGGACAGGAAATCCTTTGGCCTTGGTGCTTCTGTTTCATGGAAGAACCTCATAATATGTGTCCGCTGCTTTCACACTTTAATTGTTTCCTCCAGTTCCATCTTTCCCTTAATCACCAGAAGATCAACCACCCTGGGGTCTGTGACGTGGGTGTTCTTCATAAACATTTCTCGGACTTTATCCCGCCCCTGTTTTACAGGGATGTCTAGCTGGAATAGGGTCACAGTGTTCGGCACCTCCTGGTACCAGGCGCGGTAGAGCTCGCGCACTCTCCGCTTGGCCTCGTTCATGTCCCGGCTGAAAATGGGCTTCACAGAGGTGCTGGCTGCAGCAGCAGCCTGGCGTGCGCCGCTCGCCGCCATCTTGGTAGTGAAACCCTTTCCTATTTTTAAAATATTTATTTTTTAAAGTTTTTTCTTTGTATTGTGTAGGCACTTAAAGTTTAACATATCAATACTTGATGGAAAATATCTGTTCCATGTTATGCCTAAGATGTTTGATATTCAGACAGACAGTGAGGTTAAGCTCAACTGCCTATGTTGTAGGGTAATAACAATAAGCTTCTCTTCTGGAGGGTTAACAATCTAAGTTTGCAGACCAAAAATTAGAGAAAAAGAGGGGCTGAAAGGACAGCCAACATTTTGGCCCTAGCCTT